GACCCACAGGCTGGTCCTCAGGCAGATCTCATTATCAATACAGGAATGGTCTTCCTCAAATACCATGAGCAAACCACCACAGAGTGCCCTTGTCATTTTAGTGTGAAGCAAGCTACTGCCAAGAAATAATCAAAATCAGCAATGGGCAAAAAAAAAAAAAAAAAAAAAAAAGGGAAAAAAAAAAAAAAAAAAAAAAGCTACCTAGAGTCCTAGCACAAAAAAAAATAAAAAATACAGTCTTTGAAATTGCATGCCATTTTTCCTTCTTTTCAAGAAGCTGCAATATGTTTCAGAAGAATTAATCTCTTGTTGATTTTGGAAGACTCGGAATCGACATATGTATGATCCTCCACCCCTGTTTCTCAGCTTCGGTGACACATCTCAGTCAGTCATTAGCGACAACCAGAGAAGTTTCTGGAACAGTAGGTCTGGAAGCAGCAGGTACCTCGTTCCCTGGACCTACAGTTGAGTCAAGAGCAATGGCCTTTTCTGAACTTTGTCCCTTCAGCACAATCAATGGATTTCTAAATCCTTTGCCCTTTGCACTGCCCACAGTAACTTGGCTTATCCTGACTGAACTCTGACCGATTGAGATGAATAAAAATCACTTAAAAGTTTGTAGCTCATGGGCTGGGGATTTAGCTCAGCGGTTCGGTGGCCTGCCTTGCAAGCACAAGGACCTGAGTTCAATCTCCAGTACAAAAAAAAAAAATAATAATAATAATATCTCTAGCTCAGGGATAAGAGTTTGTGCATTATCATGCATGAGATTGAGCTAAATCTCTAGTACAAAAAAAAAGTTCTAAGGACAAATGGTAATCCACATAAAATCAGTATTTCTTTAGTTGGTAGAGTAGAAAACTACTCCAGCCAGTACTTAACGGGGTAAAAAAGGAAATTTTTGAAAGGATCTTACTATGAATATTCAGCTTTGCCACAGAACCCAAAGATAGAAATGCAATGACTCCTACAAAAGTATGAAAGTTCTAGAACAAATCACTGGGGAGGCCAGTGGGAGCACAGGCAGGATTGTAGTTAATGTCTTGTTTCCTTGCCGAAAGATTCTCTTCTCTAGCCCTTCTACGTAGTACAGGGGATGGCAAACTTGGTTCCAGAGACTTTCATTGGCTCCATTCAAGAAACCCAGCTTGAGGTTGCAGTTTCTCAGTTCCAAAGCTGTATTCCTCAAAAATAAAATCTGATTCTTCCGACTTGAGTTTCATTTCCTTTCCCTTCCCTGTCTCTGGCAACAGAGGCGTGGTCGAACGGCATTGGCACAGAGGTACTGGAACCACCCTGCAGATGGAGAGGGAGGCTTCTGAAAGAGGATATAAGGGGGCCGGGGATTTAGCTCCATGGTTCCAGTGCCTGCTTAGCAAGCGCCAGGACCCAAGTTCAATCCCCAGTACCCCCCCAAAAAAAAGAGTACTTAAAAAACAAAAAACTGTGTCAGGTGCACAAAAACTGTATTTTCAGAGATCACGGGTGCTGTTCCTCAAGACAGAAGTGTTCCGGATGTAGAGTGCCTGGCCCTCTTCTGTCCTGTGTGGGAATCAGCGCTGTGCACTGCTTTCCTATGCTGCTACCGTGCATGTTGTTCTTCTCTTCCTTTTGTGTTGAAGGGACACAAGAGCCCCCTGGCCGTCTGACTTTAACCCGTTTCTTTCTCTATTTTTCGTCCTCATCGCCCTTTGGTCAGGTCCAAGCTCATGTTTCTGCAACTACCCACTCAGCAAAGGCTAGCACGGTGAAACTGCACCCAAGTCCTAGCGTTTTGCATTTTACTCTGATTTGTCTCGTTCTGTGGTACTGGGAAATGAACTGAAGGCGTTTGCACTGAGCTACATGCCCAGCCTTTTTTTTGTTTTTGAGACAGGTATCCCTATGTTGCTAAATTGCCCAAGCTGGGCTGGAACTTGCAGTCCTCCTGCCTCAGCCTCCCAGAGAATTACAGTCATGCGCTCTCATTCTTGGCACCAGGTGCTAGTTTAGACATTGTTGAGGAGGTATTTGGGACAGTGGGCCCTGAGATACACCTGCATTCTCTAGTAACTGCAGATCCCCCACAGACCCCTCCCCACTGCCGCCAAATTCATGCAAGCCTCAGTGAGGCATGTGAAATGCTGAGAACTGAAGTCTTCAGGTCAGAATATAAAAGTCGAATGTTCGCTGGGCGTGGTAGCGCACGCCTGTAGTCCCAGCACTCGGCAGGCTGAGGCAGGAGGACCACTGTGAGTTCGAGACCAGCCTGGGCTACACAGTGAGTTCCAGGTCAGTGTCAACTACATAGTGAGACCCTGTCTCAAAAAACAAGCAAACAAACAAACAAAAATGCTGCATGTTTCAGAGACATTATAATCAGAGGCCACGGCAGGAATGGGAATCATAGAATTTAGCAGCCAGTGTCCATCAACATGATGCCTAAAAGCTACACATCTGGGGCCCAGAACAGTCAGGTTCCATTGCTCACTAGCATTTTCCTGGACACAGCACAAGAACAACACCCCCCAAAAACCTTGAGTAGGAAGAGACGACTATACTAAGGGAAGATGCAGGAACTTCTACCCAACCAATGCCATTTGGGAAGGAGGATTGGAAGAGAGATGCTTTAAAAGTAGAAAGACAGCCTGGTGGTTTGGAGTTTGAATAGATTATCTACCATCAAACTCAGTACAACTGAAAGCTACCATACTTAGTCTGGGGATGGTGATTCACTCTTCCCTGGCACTGTAGTAATCCCCTCTTATCCTCATGGAGATACATTCCAAGAAACCCAGTGGATCCCTGAAATAGAAGAGACACCAAACTGTAAATCAAAGTGCCATGAAGCCGGGAGCTGCCTGTAATCCCAGCTCAGGAGGCTGAACCAAGGGGATGTCATGTTCTAGGCTAACCTGGGCAATTCAGCGAGCTAGTGAGACCCTGTCTCAAAAAAAAAAAATAAAAAGACTTTTAATGTAGCTCAGTGTGAAGATCCTGGGTTCAAACCCAAGTACCACAAGGGGAAAGAAAAGCCCTGTGATACCACCACACTTGTTTTGATAACTGACCTGGCTACTTAGTAACTAATGGCCAGGTAGCATATACTGCGCAGCTCCACTGGACAAAGGGATGATTTATTTATATTCTGGGCAGGGCATAGCAAGACAATGAGATTTCATCACACAACTCAAAACAGTGTGCAATTTAAATTTTATGTCCAGAATTTTCCATTTAATGTTTGTGGACCACAGCCAGCCTTGGGTAATTTAAAATGCAAAAAACAACCAAACACACAAACAAAAAACAACACCCCCAAAAAAAAACCTTGAGTAGGGAAACATGACTATGTTAAGGGAAGAGATATTTTCAATCTTACACAAGTGCTTCCAGAGCACAAAATAGGAATAACATCCTCCAACTCATTTTGTGAAGTTAGTAGAAAACTGTTCAAAAATCCAACAAAGACAGTAAAAGAAAAGAGAGCTACATCACCTACCTCACCGATAGCCTTTGGACATTTTCTATTGGCTTGTCTTTTTAATTATTTAATTGTAAAGTTCTTTTATATTTTTGGATATTTATTTTGGACATTTGGATATATATTGCAAATATTTTCTCCCATTCTGGAGATGTTCTTATCACATTTTGTTAGTGATGTCATTTGAAGCATAAAAGTTTTAATTTTGATGAAGTCCAAATCATGTTTTTTCTTTTGTCATCTGTGCATTTGGTTTCATACCTAAGAAAGCACTGCATGATCTGAAAGCACAATAGCTAACACTTGCGCTTTCTTCTGCATTTTGGTTCTCACATGTGCATCTATCATGCATCGTAATCTTAGCACATGATGTGAGTTAGGCGCCCAACTTCATTCTTTTGCACGTCACTATCCAGTTGTCCCAGCACCACTTGTGTAACAGATTCTCAGCCATCAGTGAAGGGTTTTATTTCTGGACTCAGTTCCATCCCATAGATCCATAGGTGTAGCCTCTTGCCAGAACCATGCTGTCTTGCATACAGCAGTTTCGTAGTTTTTAAGTCAAAAAAGAAAGACTTGTTACCTTTTTTAAATTTTGGGGGGTTGTACTGGAGATTAAACCCAGCGTCTTCACACTGAATATTCAACCCTTTTTATTTTGAGACAGGGTTGTGCTAAGTTGCCCAGGCTGGGTGTGAGCTTGTGATCCTCCTGCCTCAGACTCCCAATAGCTGGAATTACAAGTGGGTCTCCATGCTTGACTATTACTCATTAAAGCAGAAAGACTTCATAAAGTCTCCATTTACCTCTGCTCATCTCTATGTAATCTTTCACAGTCTCTGTTCTGTTTCTTTGCTTTCAGTTTAGTTTGATCTTTTTCTCATTTTCTTTTTTAAAGGAAGAAATATGGAGCTGGGCATGGTAGTACACACCCGCACTTGGGAGGCTGAGGCAGGAGGATCGCTGTGAGTTTGAGACCAGCCTGGGCTACCTAGTGAGTTCCAGGGCCGTCTCAGCTACATAGTGACCCTGTCTCAAAAAAACAAAATAAATAAATAAATATTAAAAAAATAAAGGACGAAATATGGGTTATAGATTTGAAGTTTTTGTGGTCTTTTATTCATTGTTCGTTAGTGCATTTTAGGTGTACATTATGGTCACATTCCCTATTGGGAATACGTACCTGTTATCTACGCGTGATAGATGTTGGTTCTTGTCTTTCCCCTTCCCCTTCCCTCCTCTTCAGCCCTCCACCTCTCCCTATTTAGAAAAGCTGTGTTTTAGTTCCTTCCTTCTTTTCTAATATTTTCACCTTTCTCTCCTTTCCCCCACTTCCCCTTCCCCTTTGGACCTTTTCTTCCTATCTCGCATCCTCTATTATAGATTCCTGTTCTCACGTACACTTTTAGTTTCTCACACTAGAAAACTATTTGGTATTTACACACGTGCCCTATTTATTTCGCTTATGAGCGTGGCCTCAATGTGCATCTGTTCAGCTATAAACGTGGCCGGTTTCTCATTCCTTACGGCTGAGTAGTACAAAACCACGGACTGCCTTGCCCATTTGCCCTGCTCCTTGCGCAGGGCCTGTGCTAACCTTCTCTGTTCCTTCCAGTTTTAGTACATGTGCTACTGAAACGAGCACTCTTTGGTCCTTTTGTAGACAGGATCTTGCTATGCAATTCAGACTGGTCTTGAACCCCAGTTGGCCTTAAAACCAGGGCTATCCTCCTGCCCAGGCCTCCAGAGTGCTGGGATTACAGGTGTGTGCCACCACGCCCGGCCTTTTCTCTGTTCTAACACAGGCATTCGGTGTTGTAAATTTCTCTCTGAGGATGCTTTATTTGCATGTCACAGCTGTGGGTATGTGTGGTACTAGGATTGAATCAAGGGTTTTTACAATGAACTACATTCCCCACACTTTTGATTTTTTTTTCTTTTATTTTGAGACAGTATCTTGTTAAGTCATTAAGTTACCCAGGATGTCCTTGAAATTGTGGTCCTGCCTCAGCCACCCAAGTAGCTGGGATTACAGGTGTTCACCAGGCTAACCAGCTGGATCATGATTTTTTGTAACATTTGCCAGTCTCTTCTTTCCAATTGGAATGTTTAGACCATTGCATTTAATTAAATAAAAATAGAATTTATTTTTGTCTTTGTCTAATATATGGCTTAGATTGTTTTTGTCTATTCCACTATTAACAACTTCTTTTTTACAAGGTTTTCGGAGTGCTGGAGTCTCCTTCTACAGGTGATTCCTGGGTTCTTTCTCTACTGAACAAAGAATTGGTCAAGACAAGTGCAACAAGTAGCAAGGTTTTACATTAATTAAAGGAAGGAAAGAGAACACACTCTGCAGCATGAATCTGGGACAAGTGAAGGGAGGAAAAGAAGCACATCCTGCAGCGCAGGGTGGCCTCGGACACAGAGAATGCAGAGGCCCGGTGCTCAGCAGCACAGTCCTGTGGTCTCCCACTTCTCAGCCTGGTCTAGGCCCGTCTGCTGGAAACCTGCTCCAGTTCTTGCCCGAAGTCCACACGCAGGGCTTCAGGAACTGTTCTGCTCTTGGGTCCTAGGATCTTGTAACTAGTAACTCACTGGCTTCCCCAGCCAGCTTTGCCTTGCCCTAGGCTCCTGTCTCGTTTTCATGTTAGGGGCATCTTTTTACTGTACCATTTAAATTCCTCTACCATGTCTTTTTCTGTGCATTTTGTTATTTTTTTGTGGTTGCACTGAGAATTAAATTAACATTTTAAAGCAATGTACTTCTAATTAATACTGAGTAAACGTCAATATTACACCAGAACTGTGTTCCCACATAGTTCCCTTTGCTCTCCCACTTTGTGCTATTTTTATCACAAATTATATTTTTAAACATTATAAACGATCCACAGAGCTTTATAATTATTGTTCCCTGTAGATGCCCTATAAGTTGTATGGAAGAAAAGCGTTCTAATCTGCATATAGTGAAATGTCTAGGTGTATCACCTAGATATGTAACCTAGGTATGTGTGTGTGTGTGTGTGTGTGTGTATACATACTCTATGTTGTTTACACAACACAGGAGCCCAGAGACACATTTCTCAGAGCACACCCCACTGCTGAATAATGTGTGACTGTAATCGACTGTAATTGCCACTGATTAGTTTTTTTGTTTTTCTTTGTCTGGTATCAGGGATCAAACTCAGGACCTTGTGCTTGCAAGGCAGGTGCGCTGCTGAGCTAAATCCTCAGCCCCTGGCCACTGATTCCTTCTGACAAATGCTCTGAGAAAAAACCACTATTCAGGTCACATAAAGGCAAGTCCTCAAAATGAAAATTTTCCAGGGAGCTGTTACTCAGGCCAAGTGGTGACAGTTCTCAGGCCTGGGATTTCTGGGGCACTCTGAACCCATTTCTCCCCTTCACAGGACTACAATACCACTGCTTTTCTCAGTTACTGCGATGCCAAGTTTGTTCTGAAGGCTACTGTGAGCTGGGGAGCAGGATTAAGGCAAGGGAAAATGTTGCAAAAACGTCGCACAGCTTGCTGCTGTTGTTGAGATTCGGTTGTTTTCCTCGAGTCAGCGCTGCGTAGGTTGTTACAAGCTTTGATCAATTTCCAAAATTTTGAGAAAAAGTGACTTTGGCAATGTTCCAATTGCTTTGATGGAGAAGTAGGTTTTTTCGATTTTTTAAATAATTTTTTATTTTTTTGAGACAGGGTCTCACTATACAGTTCAGGTTGGCCTTGAACTATGTAGCCCAGCCTGGCCTTGAACTCACAGGGATCCTCCTGCCTTAGCCTTCCAAGTATTGGGATTACAGACATGGGCCACCACTCCAGCTTGGAGAAGCAGGTTTTGAAGATTATCTATACCACCATTCTGGAAGTGCCTCCCCAAGTTTGTTTTAAATCCCAGTTTGATGTCCACCAGCTGCGCGACTCTGGGCAAGTCCTGTAACCTTGCTGGTACCTTTATGTGAGTAATAGATGAGATACTGCCGATAACATCAAAACGTATATAAAGTGCCATTTTTAAAAAGCCAATTGTCAACAAATGTAAACACCTCTGATGAGCTGTTGTCTTCCCTCACCGAGCTGCCCCTCCTCTCTTCGCTGTGGCTTCAGGATGAAATTTCCACCAGCGGAGTGGAGGGGAGGCCACAGAAGGAAGGTCTGAGCCACTTCGGGAAGGACGCGTCCCCGCGCTCGTCCGGCTTCACTTTCCTCTAGGTGCAAAGGACACCAGCGCAACGGCCTCCTCCAGCCCGGACTCCGGCATTTGCCCCTATGCCCGGTAGTATTTTTTCTTTCCTGAGGGCATTTCTATTTACTCCATTTGGAACACAGTGGCCTGCTGAGGGCAGAAAAGACGTTCAGTCTCTGAAGGAAAACAGGCAGCCTTTTCATTCTGACTAATCCTTGCTGAGAATAGTTTATTGGATTTGGCTTCTAGGAAACAAAGGTCTGAGTTATCCACAAAAATGTGACTTGCACTATAAAATTGATTTCTGTGCAATAGGATTTCTCCCTTTTCCCACTTTCCTGACTTTCCAAAGGTGTGTAACTTTATAATAAAGTTGACTTTGCTACTACAGTAAAACATACATAAGGGGAACCTGATCATCTAACAACTCAGGCGCTCAGGGGCACAGACCGCACTCACATCGGGGTGCGACCCCTACCAGCACCAGCTCCAGAAGTTTCCATCTCCTCACAGCAATCCTTCATCCCTACGAACAAGGAGTCCCTGCTTTCAGTTCTTTTGAAAACATCCAGAAGCAGTTGCACTTCCGGATGCTGTCTGTTGGAAAATAAATTTTGGATGCCCCTTCCAAAAAAGCAAACACCCAGCAACACAATTCCTAGCTTATACAAAAATTCTGTTTTTTTTTTTTTTTTGAGGAACCACACACTGTGTTCCAGTGGCTTTCCCATTTTACACTCCTATCAGCAGTGTACAAGTATCCAGTTCTCCATATCCTCACCAGCACTTGTTGTTTTGTGATTAAAAAAAATAATAATGTGAAATAATGTGATAGTGGACATGATGTGCTATAAATGGGTGTGACGTGACAACTCACTGTAGTTTTCATTTTTAGTGACATTGGGCATCTTTTCTGCTTATTGGCTGTTGGTATGTCTTCTTTGCAGACATGTCTATTCAAGTCTTTTGCCCATTTTACAACCTGGTTATTTACTTTTTCATTGTTGAATTGTGGGAACCAGTCTTTTATTTTCATTTTATCTTATTTATTTTGAGATGGTCTCATCGTGTAGTTCAGATTGGGCTTGAATTCACTGTGTGTGGGAGGCTGGCTTTGAACTCATGGCAATCCTGCCGCCTTGGTTCCTCAATGCTGGGATTATAGGTGTGTGCCGCCACACCCTGCTTGTTTTGTTTTGAGATGGAGTCTTGCTGTGTTGCCCAGGCTGGCCCCAGACTTCTAAACTCAAGCAGTTCTCCTCTGCTTTATCCTCCTGGATTAAAGGCATGTGCCATTGTACATAGCTTGAAACTAGTATTTGCTAAGGCCTGGTGTATATGACTTCAAGTCTGCTTCAACCAGTTTCTCATCTATACTCTATCTCACTTTCCCTTGTATGTCCGGTCTTATCACATGAACAAACACTGTATGATTGGAGATGATGTGCTTTTTTCACTTTTGTATCTCACTCTGGAATGCCTCTCTTCCCACCCTCTCTGCCTGCAAACATCTCAACCCAGTAGATTTGCTCAAATGTTGCTTCACGTGTGCCAGGCATCTTTAGTCATTCTCTTTTTTCCATGGCACTTTTTAGGGAAAAAACTGTAATGTAAACTTCAGTTGAAATACAACATGTACAAAAAATGAATAGTTCCATAGAGTTTCACAAAATGAACACACATGTAGCAAATTAAAAAATGATCACCAGAACCCTAGAAGGTATTTTTCCCATTTTCAGACATTGCACGTCCTGCCTCAATTATAACATAATGTTGGTTTTGCCTATTTTTGTGTTTTACATAAAGGAGTGAAGTAGCGTGTTCTACTTGAAGTGTTGGTTCTTTTTCTCCGCGTTACCTGAGGGAGGCTCTTCGCCGAGTAGCTGCGGTTCTTTTGCTCTCACCATCTCACTGCCATTTACCCTTTAATAGCTCACGTTCATTTATCTATTCTGGGCTGGTAGCCACCAAGGTGTTTCAAGATTTGGGCTGTTACCAAATAGTGCTGTTACGAACATCTTTATTCTCTGGTGTACATAATACAGTATTTTTTATGTCTTCAATGTTTGCATTGTATGTTAATTATTATTTTACATGTCTGTTGGCCTCACTAGGCTGTGAGTTTCTTAAGGGAATTTGTAATCTCAGTGTCAGGTACATCACATGGGACACAGTGGTTGAGATTTACAGGTAGACATCACTCTGCCCTGCTGTATTTAGAAAATTTTTGTAAAGGCATTATCTGAAGGAATCTTTTCCATTTAAAAAAAATTTTTTTTGAAGGAATCTTTTTAAAAGGTCATTTTAAGTTGGGCCTGGTTGCACAGGCCTGTTGTCTCAGTACTCTGGGAAGCCGAGACAGGAAGATTATAGGTTGAACCAGCCTCAGCCTGACCAACCTTCACAACTTTGTGAAACCCTATCTTAAAATTTAAAAATAAATGGGCTGGGGATGTAGCTCAGTGTGAAGGCTCAGTTCAATCCCCAGTACTTTAAAAAAATTAATATTTTTTCCTTTTTTTTTTTGGTACCGGGGATTGAACTCAGGTCCTTGTGCTTGCAAGGGAGGCGGTGGAACCACTGAGCTAAATCCCTGGTCCCTCCTTTGTATTTCTTAAAATTCATAAATGTATTCTTTGCTTTTTTAATGGACACATGTAAAGTGTAGATCCATTTTAAAAACTAAATCTAGAACTACATGATCGAGAAGCTCCACATTAGGTATTATACTGAAAATATTGAAAGGCATTAGTGTCACATAAAGTATTATATTTTTAGGTAGAATTAGTTTCACATACTTAACAGGCACTTTGGGAACTAATTTATACTATGACTTTCATTAACATAGTCCAGCAGAAATTACTACAATTAAGCCAGCACAGCTATTTAAAAGTTTTTTGTTTTTTTGTATCAGGGATTGAACACACTGATCTCCTCACACATGTATCATTTCCTTATGTAAAAACCTTCCAACCTATTTTTCTGGCTTTTTGAAATGTGCAGTGTACTTTTGTCACCCGCAGTCTTCCTACTGTGTGATGCTGCAGAACTTCCTACTCCAAACTGTAACGTGGTAGCATCCATCGATCAAGCTTCCCTACCCTCTTCTCTACCACTCTCTGCTCTAGTTTCCCAGGGTCTGGTAGCCGCCTCAGCCTCTGTGATCAACTTTTTCATGCTCTTTGTGGAGTGTGAGGCCTCTTGGACTTATCTGTCCTGGCCTGGCTCATTTTAACTGACATAAGGATCTCCACTTCCATCTATGTTGTCAGGAACGACAGAATTTTATTCTTTTTTATGACTACCTAGTATTTCACGGTGAATATGTATAATGTTTTCTTTATTCATCAATTGAACACTTAGGTTGTTTTCACTTCTTGGCAAAAAAGAACTGCTCTTTAAGTAACTTTACACCAATTTCCTTTATCCTTATGTTATTCTCTATAACCAGACATTCATTATACTAGTAAAAGGAAATTCAATGCAGTGACTGGCAGAAAAAGCACAGTCATCATTATTTAAGGACCAACACAACCAGTAGTGCAGCTTATTACAAAAATCCTAATTGACAGTGACAATGAAGTCTTAGATTAGAAATGAACGCCCAAAATCTTTTTATAAGTATGCAAGACTGCGTAGATTGGGACTGAGAAGCAAGTAGTAAAGAAGAATAAAAGAGTGGAGTAAGATATATAGAACTAAATATGAATATGGCTTTATTTTCTCCTTTTTTATTAGTACATGTTTGCAATTCATGTTAAACACAAATAGTCTTCCAAGTTTGGGTAAATCAGAAAAGTTGTCTTCCTTTGGTGTGCTGGCAAAAGTCCAAGATCTAAAGCAGTAGGTTTTGAACTGACTCTTGGCTCTGCTGCTTACTGAACCATGAGACTTTAGGGAAATGAATCTCATTCGTACACATCTTACAGCGTCTTTGGAATATGATTTCCAAACGTCAGACAATAAATGGCAGTCTCTACTACTGAGAGGCACGCTTCTCACGCACATTTCTGAACTCCAGCACGCACGAGGGGCAGGGCAGGAAACGCGGTTCAGAAGTCCAGCGACTTCAGCTCACCTGAGCGACCCAGAGAGTAGAGGGGGGACTTCCGCCAAGACCCGGAAGCCCGTAGGAAGAGGAGAGGACGCCGGCGCGGGCGGGAGGAAGCGCCGCGGAGCGGAACTACACTTCCCAGAAGCCCGCGGGGCGGGCCGCTGACCGTACCGGCCAGCCTCTGTGCGGCAGGATCTAGTAAACACCGGCTACGAGGGCCGCCG